TGAGATTTCAGATACTTGACGAAAAAAGATTGAAGAAATATTTTTTTTATGATGTCAAGTGACGGTACGAACAAGTCGTGTAGCATGCATGGAAAGGCGTATCGCTTACCGTCACGGTTCTTTGCCTTTCCATGACAGTTGCACAGCTACTCAGAACTTTGTATCGCAAAGATCTGAAGAGCACTGCCACTGCACCCGTCACCCTGAGATATAAGTTGACAAGTCCCATGTGCCTTTAATTTCACCAGCAGTCGTACCCTTTAAAACCGGAACGCAGTAATGTGAGCATTACAGCTTGATGGAAGAAACTGCTACTGGAAGATTTACAAAGCGATTTGAAATGGGTCGATAAAGGCGAACCTACGACGAACAAGTTGAGGACGTCCTATGGAGATACCACGTCAAGAATACCCTCAATTGACGAACGTGTATGTAAGCATTGATGCGTGTTTAAGAGGCGAAAGATGTGTGTCAGTTAGGACCGCAGCAAGGGTGCCTTATTCAGAGTGGCGGCTGGCGCGGGTGCGCGCGCACTGCGCGGGTAGTTATTAACTCGGTCCGCCCCACGTCCCCTCGTACTTTCACAGTGATTGGTCGAGGATCTAGAGTTTGTTTGCGATTTCGACATGTGGATCTATCCGTTCGTAGCCGCTTTGTCATTGTCAAATGGAAGACGCCAAAATCCGCGCCCTTCCGGGAGGAAAAGGGCGTGAAGCAGAGTGTGTCAATTTCACGATTACTCTAACAAGTAAATAATAGCATAATGAAAGTATTATCATTAACCCACTTATACATCCCCCTTCTGGGCACGGGCCTCCTTTCAGGTCAGTGTTTAGGCCATAGTCCGTCACGCTGGCCAAATGCGGGTTGGGGACTTCACACGTTTTCCGAGGGTTGTGTGTTCTTCGATGTACAGGTTTTATCACTATGTTTTCTTTCACCCAAAACATCATGGTAAATTTCAAACTAAATTTCCATATAGATTCCGAAAAACTTAGAGGTGCGAGTCCGAATTCGAACCCTGCCTCTGCTCGAGAAGCGGTAATCAAAAATCACGACTTTTTAATTTATTCTATACACATAAAATAACTTTATTTGTTGTGTTACTATGTACATTGACAACAATTTAACCTTAAATAACGTATCTGTAGTTACCTGTACCTATTATGTAGATTAAAGTATTTGTTTAACCATTCTTTTAACAATACAATTTACGTGAGTAGAATTATTCTAACGACTGTCTTCTATTACATAATACTTTTGTTACTCGTTAACTTAACACGACTGCAACCTAAATCCAATTGAATTGTTATACCGCTTTTTTAATTTCCAACGAAAATATGTAAAGGGTTGCCATAGGTTTGCGTAAGTGGAATTTTAAGTTGTATTATTTAAAACAGCAAACATCAACGGTTCACCTGATAGAAAGTAGTTAAGTAGTAGTTACTTTTATTATTTCATTTTTTTTTGAAAGTATTTGGCACATAGCTTCCTAGTAAACGACCCCATGCGATTGAATTTCTATTGATTTTTATATTTTATGACCCGTTAGTTGAGGTAGTTAGTAGAAGAATTGCAGATTCTTCTGCATCTCCCAAATTTATTTGTAAAGGGATCTCAGGCACTGTTGCTTCTGGAAACTACGAATTTGCAGGCCCTTGGATTGATGACGACCAGCATCGAAAAATCTAGAATCAGGTACTGCTACATCTAAACGCTTTAACCGCCACTTACACGGGGGGTCTGGTTGAAACCAACACAGAAAGACCTGGATCTAGTGCGATTACACGTAGACTCTCATTTACCTTCAACTATCAGAATATTACCAAAGACAATACTTTAACTCTTTGTTTATACATATATTACATGTAATAACTGTAAAAAACTATGAAATCAGTTTTTTTTCTCTTCAATTTCTAATTATACTTTTATTGATATTTGTATGCTCATCATCATTTAATACGTTTCATTAGGAAGGTTAGCAATGAAAAATTGATTGAGGAGTAATTTTATTTTACTTAGGATGATTCTATTTTCATACAAAAGACATGAACGCGATGAACATTGGAATTCTGTAAAATCCACTTGATAAGTAAAATAATAGTGTTTTACCCGGACATTTTAATTTTACACCTAGGTTTAAGGTAAAAATAAAGGAGTCATAATGGAGAAATGTCGTAATTTTAGTCGTACGCAGTATTGCCGTAACCACGTTCAATCTCTATAATGCTAATTGCGTCTAAGTCTTAATTGGAAATGTATGTATATTTTTCGCCTCTCTAACCTTGTTATGCGTATGTGATAAGTTAATATAGCTATGTAATATAATCGTAGACGGTTAATTGATACTTCCTCCTCTACGAGTAACACTTCCATTACGTAATCATCTCATTTATTTCTTGTATCGAGAATTTACTTAACTTTTACTATATATTTTATTCCAAATAGATAACTTCTAGAACCACTATACTTAAGGTCCATGCTTAATATAAATATAATATCTACTTCCACTTTTGAACACCTACACAGAGTATACCAATAAAAGCAAGGAAACCAGGAATGGGACTGTTCTCTGAAGTACCTACATAGAAGTTACGATTCATCGTTTTATTTCTGTTTAAAGCAGAAAATGTAACACTCAAGCGTGGGAAGAGGCATTTCCAAACTAACTACCCGACGAACTCTTGTCTCACGCTCTACACCTAAGGTAATTTTAGTTTTATTTATATGATATTGAATTTGTATTGCATATATAAAAGCTGCCTAAGTGAGAGCGACTAAATATCTTTATTATTATATTATACTCGCCTCTCCAACAGTCTAAAAATATATATCCAACTGGACAAGGCGGTATTCCCTGGCAATGTTATTATAATTAATATTCAATATTCCATAAAACTGGTTGTTTTATGATGAACGTCTACTCGTATAACTCAACCGTTAGGATTTATTACATGGTCAGTATTATGCGTAAGTGAATACACAAGAATCATGTCACGTTATTTCTATGGATTATGTAACTTAGGGCCATCGAGTACAATGCGATTTTCGCCACCCATGCCCAGACTTAACGAGTTCAATAAATATACCGTAGGATTACTTACACACTTGTTGCATCTATTGCACCGTACGAACTATTACAAGCGTCAGACATGCTACTATGAATATGTATGGCATACCCTAAATTGACCCGTATTAGGATGGAGCATTGCAAAGGCTACAATTGAATTTGACTATGTAAATGAAAGTACGAAACCGATTACGAAATTGTAGCCGACAGACGTAGCGATAAATTCGAGAAGGCGTGGATTGTTAATCGTTACCAAAAATGTTTTTTTTTCCTGTTTTCTATGCGATTTGATTTAATCTCTCGTAAGCCTAATAATTTAACCGTACTTCTTTTGTTTGGTAACTCCCTATTTTGTTTGTGATGTATTACCTATTGTATGATCATCTTCATCGTTTTTAACAGCCACTATTAATTTTATATTATATCGTGAAGTGAATGTATGGTATACGTATTGATTGATGTTACATGATCAATAATCAAGTTTGATACTTACATTAACTTAAAAGTTACTCATTTTTGAATTGCAAAAAATGTAAGTACTTAACATACCTAAGTACCTGTTTCGTATATTTACATTTATACGTACATATTTGATTTTGCTGGTTAGGCAGCAATGTTAAAAAAGATCGAAAATTCGACCTAGTATATATCAGCGATTTACGTAGGTATAATTTTTTTTTCCAACGTGGTGGTGAAATCTGCGTCAAAATTTCATAAAACCCTTTAAAGATGGTTGAAGTTAAGCGTGGTGATGTTGTTGGGAATATTTGAGTTGCAAAACTAATTAAATTAATTTTAGTATTTAATTTTAATTTGGCCCGGTGACAACATTTTTTCTTTCTCCCGTTTAGGTGCGCCAACGATAAACGTGGTGCTTTAAATATTTTATTTTTATTTTTTAATATACCGAGGTCTCTACAAGTAATCTATCAACCTATGCAAAGAAGAGCAGCTGCGTACAAATATCCTAAACCCTGTAATGCAAGGAAACCGGTGGACGATAGTGGGACTTACATATCCATATTCTACTCAGCTTGAAGAGCAGTTGCGTTTTTGTGCGTAACAATTTTACAAATGACTCTACGTTTTACGAAAACGGATGCTTCGCAATCCAATAACTTTCCGACTAGATGACTTTAGAGTTGAGAGATAATGATGTTATGGACAATAAAATCTGAATAATTTGTGTATCTTTATATTAGATTCTGTATCATTGTACCCGTTTATGTACGCACAGACAACTCATGTGTGTGCCAACTTATGTTCACTGATAGAGAATCAGATTTGTTCGATTTTTGACGATGGACACGTATCGATCTGCTTAAAATACTATATTGACCGTGTGCTTCTTACACACTTAATCGATTTTGTCTGGTCCGACATGATAATCGACAAAAAATACGCTGTCGATCGCTTGTTGCTTACAAATATACTGGTTTCGTTTGATCACACTATATTTTCAGGACACAACATAACGTTGTGCGATTTTTTAAGGAAATTTAGTTTGTCAATTTTTTTTTAATGTACCGGGTGACAGGACGAACAAGTCGTGGGCCAGGTGGGAAGCGACACGCCTGTCCATTACAGTTGCAGTGCTACTCGGGGCTTTAAATAGCAATTTAGGGAAAAAAATTGCATTTTTTTCCATAAATAATCTAATTCCTGAGCAATAATGAGACAATTTCACATTGAAATAGCTATAAAGAACAAGGTTTGAATAAAATCAATGTGCATCATGTTGTGTTCTTCAAAAACCACCGCGCATACATACTTTACCTTTACATCACATACCATTAGTACGATATACTATAGTTTGTACACATACTATACAAACGAGAGATTTTACATTTTTAACACGCAAAATGTTAATTTGTTGCTCGAATTACCATGTACATTCAGTGGTTAGTAAAGCAAGATAAGGTGCACTTACCATCGGATAAGGCGAGCGCCGGCGCATACACCGCTACGGCCGTATACAATATCATCTGTAGCATGTAGAGAGCGCTTGCGTACACGCGGATAGATTTGCAGAAACGCACTTCCTGAAAATTTTAACGTGTTAGCGAGTTAAGCGTATTTTGACGACCTCGATGCTCCAACGATTTGCACTGTGGGTATAGGATGAGCAGGTTCCGGGTTCTATTCCCGATAGGGCAAATGAACTATTCTAAATTAATTCTGGCCTGGGTATTTGGGAACTGGAGAGGCGCTGTTTTTTCGGCGTCGGGACGTGAACGTGCTTTACAGCTCCGCCACCAATCAGGAGACTTGGTAGTCGGCTTAGAGTCGATGGCTCAGCGGTGGCAACCGTTAGTAGCGCAGAGTGCTACGGGAAGTAAGCGTGTCTACCTATATGGAAAATAGGAGGGTGTCCGTGCAAACGGGCTGTGCGGGCTTGCTCGCACCGGTTAAAGTGTCCTTTCGGATTAACCAAGAGATTGATAGGGAGGGTCACTATAAACAAAACTTGTGTAGAAAGATATGGGGCTGGCCTGGGAATTTTGGGAAGCGCCCCAGAGTGAATTCTGGTACACATAGTACAGGAAAGTAGTAAGTAGTAGTTAGAAGTAGCAAATTAATTTACTTCCATTTTTATTTACAGGGAATTCACTAATTTGAGGCCAGTAAATTGGGGTTGTTATTATCATTATTTGTTAGTATTTTATGTTGACATAGTAGGTTACAATATACATATTTAGTAGCCTTAGTATAATAAAGTCACATGTGATCATACGTCAAAGCGCTTGTTCTCCTCTCTATTAAAATTGCTGTGTACACCAGGCTTCACAATTGGCTCTCATAGCCATAAGTTTTCATCTTTATGTCTTTATATTGTGGAATGCAATAAAATTACCGAGTGATTACTGATATAACATGAAAGTCTTTTTTTTTTAATCTAAATTTAAGGAGCTTTACTGTGTATTTTAATAGTAATGTCGCTCCGTAATGCTACTTAATTTATACATCTAACCTAGATTAAGACTATCTAAATATATTTTGTACAGTATTTTGGCTTCGTTCGACGACGGAACGGCCAGTATACTGTTACACCACCCAGTCTGCCGTATGTTAACTATACTGCCCAACTGTCTCCTGAGTCTCTCGGTCCGAACACATTCCATCAAAACGTGGTAAATGTCTTCAGTGACGCCGCAATTGCTACAATAAGGAGTTGGTGTAATGCCCATCGAAAAGGTAAACTTCTTTGAAGGAATGTGCCCATAGCGCAACCTCAGAGCCGTCACAACGCCAAGTCTATTCATCAGACAGTTATCAATCCATGGAACTTCCAGTGGCTCAGGTTGAATTGTTTTGAACCAGATACATTTTTCTTTGGATCTCTAATCATAGTATGAAAGTCTTAAAATTTTAGTAGCAGCAGAGATCCTTGTGAAAGACAGCATTACTACATATGTTCCGGGTTCGAAGGGTAAGGGTGCTGGTAAAATTACAGGCACATGGGACTTGTCACCTTATGTCTCAGGGTGACAGGCACAGTGGCAGTGCCCCTCAGATCTTTGCGATTTAAAGCTCTGAGTGGCATCACAACTGTTATGGACAGGTTCGTAGCTTACTATCAGGCGCACGACTTGTTCGTCCCGTCACTTGATATCACAAAAAAGTCATAAAAATAATACGAACTATATGAAACAAATTCTTTTTTTTATAATATCAAGTGACGGGACGAACAAATCGTGCGCCTGATGGTAAGCTAAACGCCTGTCCGTAACAGTATTGTGTGAAACTTTATAACTTAGCATAAAAACCTTATCAACTAATTTCCTTCGTAGTATCTTTAAACCTTTCCGGAAAACTTGTAATTTTCCAGATGTGGATGTATTTTATTTATTTACTTTGGGATCGGAGCAACGTATAATAATAATAGAAATCCTGTGTCGCGGGTACCATGGACACACACGTAGACAACCACAAATTACTCCCAAACTCATACAATACAAATATTTCTCCTGGCCCGGGAATTGAGTCCGGGACCTCTGCGCCGCAGGTCAGCAAGTTTCTACACGTGGCCGAACAGTTGCATGTTCGGCCACGTGTAGAAACTTGTTAAATAATTTTGAATATAGGTCCGTTATAGGAACACAGGTACTACGTCGTACTCTTTTATAGTGGTTACATACGACTTTTAGCAGCGATGCAAATGCGCGTTGGTGGAACGCGCGATTGCATCGACACAAACGCGTGACTGCATCGATACAGTCGCTTATTTTTGAATACGAAACATCTATATAGGTTTATGCATATTATTTTGTTTTGTTAATTGTAAATTTAAAAGTGAAACTATAACGTGCATCTCATTCGTATTATTGCCTTTGTATCGCGTTTGCATCACGTTTGCATCGCGTTTGCACCACTGCTTAAAGTTGCGCGCGTGTGTAAAGGTAGGCGATTAGCGACTGCATCGCTTCTAAAAGTCGCCATGTGTAAAAGCTCTTATATACTTAAAAAGATACTGACGGAAGTTGTGGAAGGTGGAGCAAGATCAATACGCCAGAGTCGTTGCAACTATAAATTTATATATATCTTAGTTTATGTGGATAATAAGAATATTCATACCAAATACTCGTAGCAAGAAGTTAGTCGCAGCCTCATAAAGACAGGTAAATACAGCTGGCTGGTTATCGGTACAACGAGCATGAACGCGACGCAGATCATCCAGAACTGTGCCCCTGCCATGTACATCTCTGCTGGGTTGCCCAACAGCTCGATCGCCGTGATGAAACTGAAAGTACGCTCAACTAAGTGTCACGCTAGTATCCTTCAACTTTCGTATTATGAACACGTATAGATAAAATTTCAAATCACTTTTAAATGAGGTGTGTACACATTTTTAGTACTTATAAATTACACTTTGTCAATTGGTTTATATTGTAGTTGCTAAAGTTATGCTATGGATTACTGTATTTACATACTAGATGCCGTGATAATAAATATAAATTCAAACGACATTACCAAAAAGGAAAGGAAATTATTGTTGAAAATGGATATTTTTTAGGTTCTCGCTATTGCTACATACGAAACAATTTTTGTCGGATTTATATCGCGTAACAAAACCAACGTTTCGGGTTTCTTACAGGTACCACGATTACGACTGACTCTGCTAATAATTTAATTTTCAATTGATGTTTTTGTTAATTGGTTCCGATTTTGAAGGGTGCTGGTGAAATTACAAGCACATGAGATTTGTCAACTTATGTTGTTGTTGTTTTTTTTCTTTCTTTCCTTTCATTTTTCTTTCTCTCAAGGTGATAGGCGTAGTGACAGTGTCCCTCAGATCTTTGCAATTTAAAGCTTTGAGTGGTATTGCAACTGCTATGCGTGTCGCTTTACACTAACGAGTAAACTAAAAACGCGCATGGCTTGTTTGACCCGTCACTTGGTGCCTACCGTAAAAAAGTTTCCTGCTGAAATTTGACTAAATACTTGTTTGACGACTCCGTGATCGAGTGGCTTGCACGCCGGTTTTCATGGTGTCGCCATCTCTGAGGAGAGGTTCGACCCCCGGCCGGGTCAATGTAGTAAAACTTGTCTGTCGTTGTTTCCGATTTCCATAACACTTTCCATAACAATTTATTAGTAGTAGAGCTACTTGTGAAAGAGTTTATCCAGGTGAGCACTGCCACCTTACCTATTTCTGCCGTAAAGCAGTAATGACAGTATTACTGTGTTCTTATTTTGAAGGGTAAGTTTGCTGGTGAAATTACAGGCAGATGGGACTTATCAACTTATGTCTCAGGGTTACAGACGCAGTGGCAGTGCCTCTCAGATCTTTGCGATTTAAAGCTCTGAGTGGCACTGCAATATTTATGGATAGGCGTGTAGCTTAGCGCACAACTTGTTCGTCCCGTCACTTAATATTATTAAAAAAACACAAGCGCATTAGTTACTTTTGTTTTAGTTAGTTTCTTAATGATCGAAACAACGTATGTGATGTTGTTTAATAATTATTTAAAAATAAAAATAGTACATATGTTGAGTATTCTTACCTTGCAGCTAGGCTTAAAGCCATCGGCAATGTCCCCATGGACGACCCGCCCAATAAGAAGTCATCTCCTGTGGTTTGCTGCTCAGCGAAGTATCCATAAAACACACCAATGCCACAAGACACTATGAGCATAGCAGCCAATACGCTGTAATCTTCCCAGTGAAATAATTCATTTATTTGACTCTCATTCTTCACAGAATATGATTCATTTGTTCTTAGTGTTACTGTCTTCGGCAAGCTAGGCGATGCTGATGCAAGAGGCGAACACAAACTCCAACACAGTACCAAAGTCAATAACGTATCCTGAAATGATTTTCGATATTATGAAACTGTACATCGCAAGAGATTGAAATCTTCATACGTTCCTATGCAACTCTGTTACGGGCAATTTACGGGCGTGTTATTTATTATCTATTACGTGTAATAAAATATGTTTTTCGGCGTATGTTTTTTTTGTAGTCTCTAATTACTAGCAACCAATTGACGGCAATCACTTGGAAATTGTACACCTATTGGAATTGCATAATCGGTGAGTGGGTTGGCCGACGAGTAGGTAATAATTTTAGCCGGCACCAGATGGTGATTTTTCAATTCCGAAAGGCTGTTAAGAACTTAAGATCCAATTAATTAATCCCATTGATTTGTAAAAACTACACCCAATTATTTCGAAGCGCAATAAAGCCATTACCTAGTTGATTTATGTTCCTTGCAGATTGTAGCTATTGGATGCCAGTTAATCGTAAGTAGATACCTACTAATCTAAAGTAATTAAGATTGAATTATGAGTAATTGTCGACTGTCAGTCAACAATAAATTTATTGTTTAACAATTGTTAAATTATATTAATGCTTAAATATAACTGCAGTGGACGCGCGCAGAAGCATGTTACGTCGCATGATTTTCAAATTAATTCCTCGGGCTGAAGCGATGATACCCGCCGAGGGGCAGTCTTAGCCGGTTTACTTCTCGTTCTAGCCACCCTAAACTGGATAGTTCCGGCTGCGACGGCTCATGCTTCAAACCCAACTCACAGGGCATGGGATGATTCGAGTGCGTGTCTCACATTCCAACCAATTAGGTGCACATGCTTAAATCGTTGTTTGATCTGGTTTTGTTTGCGTCATTAGTTAAATAATGAAAGAGATCGCAGTATCTAGCCATACAAAATTACGATAAATGCGAGATAAATTCAATTTTTATACCAGTTCAATTTAGAGATTTTTTTTATTAAATTCAGAATTTACTAAAATTATTATCTAATTTGGATACATGCTATAAACTCCATCACCATTTCGGAAAGTACCATTCAATCACGTTCACGCAACTGTGGATTGCGGTAACATATAATTTACATAAACCGCCTTAAAGTCTTTCGTAGTCCCACAAAAGTGTGAATACTGTTTGACTGTAATTGTTTTGCGGTTTGCAGTAATTGCTGAGCTTATTGAATATCGTTCAGAGATGCGAAGCGACAAGACCATGACCTTGAACCTAAAGTCGCTGATATTGTAAGCCTTGTCTAACAATATTGTGACAGGTAACATGTGAACTAATAAATCTATGTAAATCTTTTTCTCTCTTGACGATTTACGTGTCATGTGAATTAACCGCTGTATAGCGGTTAAGTGTAATAACTGAGGAACAATAGATTTCACTTGATTAGTTGTTGAGTTTAATTTGTTATGTTGTGTATTAATGTTGTATATTTATGAGGTTATTATTTCAGTATCTTGGAATAAAAAAGCATTCTTTTGATAACGGAAGAAATGGAAATACTTTAATGTGATTTTGTATAGAGGATGGATGATCGAGTATGTTATGAAAGTGAATACGGATGGAAATTTGGGGACAGAAACCCTCGATGACGATGTTCCTCAAGAAAATCCCGTATATACGAACGGTTAGGGAAATACTGATGCGAATGAAGGAAGCGAAAGAAGCAAGAGAGTATTAGACGTAGTTAGCGGAGATATATAGTCCCTGTTCACCCTTCTGGAGACAGGCGTGTCGGTATACAAATAAAATTTTACGACTGTATTCATTATATTGTTTTGTTCAACACTTGTGTTTTCATTCGTTGTCCATGGCCAATCATTAGCTGAGAGTTCCTTGAACCAATTACACAGACAATTCTCAAAATTTTATGTCTGTAACACAATAGCACTTATATATACTGACCGAAAGAAGCGTACAAAGTTTTTTTGAATTATGTAATTCGCTTATTTCCCATATTTTTATCGTCGGTGAACCCGCCATTAGTCTGATTGATGCCGATTTACATTTACCAGAATTCATTTATAGAAATACTTATTCACGGCGTTTTAGAAATTATGAAACTATGCTCACGATAAATGCGGTTTGAAGTTGCTTCATTTTACGTAACATGTAGTCTGTCCGAAGTAAAGCAACATGTCAAAAGGTTATTCGTGATGCGGCTAATTATCGTAAAAACGAGTTAAAAAAACTTGAATACTATCACATGCTTCAAATGGAATGTTAAACTTCTACTTCTCTTAGCAAACAGTTGTTACGAAAGAGGCAAGTAAGGTCACACAAGGTACAATGCAGTAACGCTAATCTGAAACCTAACGTATGACTACATAAAAGTTGTTGAGTCGACGGAAAGGCATAAAATTAAAAACGCATTTTCGCGGTTGTTAAGTACTCACTCGAATCGAAACTAGAAAAACTGTTTACACGACTATAAAATCTAACTTTGCAACAAAATACTTCAATATTGAGTTGTATTCTGTTTTAAAACGCGCCAATAATTATAATTAAGACGTCTTCTCCGAGTATTATGGCAATTATAATTTACAGGAATTTACCAGTTTAAAGCACTGAGATTCGAATTAGGTTACTGCTGTTGGGTAATAAATGTCTGGGTGGTGTTGAGATTTATCTTGATGCCATCTTATTACTACATATAAGGTATCATTTATGTCAAAAGGTGTGTAATCAATAAGTAGCTGCCCAATTTGTCAGGAATGCCATAATGTAATATGTAAATCATAAGTACACTGTGTGTTAAACATATAGAAGATTTATTCGTAATACTATATCCTCTCAGTTCAAAATAACTGACACAAATATATAAATGGTGGTAGTCCCTGAGATATAAGAACACAATATTGGATTATAGAAGTTATTTAATTTGTAAAGAAACTACATGAGTTTACGAGCCTCAGTATTTTAATTTTTCAGTAGGTATTTTTAAAAACTTACCTTATAACTAAAATGCAGTCCAAAATTTAAGCTTTTACAAAATCGTTTTGATGCCATCCTCACTACGTCCTGCAACACGTCGGTCACGCAGAAAACTTCGAATTGCTGATACTTTTATACATGTTCTAGAACGGAAGGAACGTTATCTTCCGATATTCTGGATGTTAGGAGCGTGCTGTATGGATGAAACACCGCCGTGATGTGATGTATCCACAAACACACCAATTATAGGTAATTAAGACTGAAGACGCAACGGTTCGTCACTGGGACGCGTCACATACAAATATTTTATATTCCAAGAAGGTTTCTTCGTCTAAAAACCACTAGCATTAAATTCAGCGCTGTGTTAGTGTTCTGAAAATTATACAAAGTACGCACGTGATTGTGCGACGATTGGTTTCTAACAACAGAAACCACTATTGGTAATTTGCACTTTAATGCTCAGAGTTTCATAAACAATGATAAGGGCAACGAATGCCAAAAGGACAAGTAACTATAAAAATGCTATTCATGGTGCTTGATGCGAATGATTTGCGACTTTCTATTTCTCTTGAATAAATTCTTGGAATGACGGTAAACAATTAAGCTAATAATCCTATAGAAAGTATACCGCCAAATGCCGTTTATGGACCAGAGTCAGATTTCTTGTTATTTTAAAATGCAATACCTGAGCTATGATTACGCATCTGCTAATAGGTACTATGATAAAGCAGGTACATAGCTATAACTTTCACAAACTCAAGGAATTTATTGATCAACCGGTTTGAAGGGAACAGGACCCGTCACTTACCTTAGTATTTACACACGAGTTAGGTCGAAGGTCAATATTTCACATCAAAACATTATTTTGAAATTTTTCCATAAAACAATTAGGTGCCGTACGCACTTATCGATCACTCACTACATAATATGTATAGGAATTGTAAGTCTGTGAAGCGTGTTCATAGCATGATATTGATTTGATAAATAGAATTCAATTTTTTATTTCATTTGACAATGTTTATCGCGTTGGATTCATAAGGCTTTACTGATCATAGATGCGGGAAATTGTTATGTTCATGCTGCATTACAGTATAATCTACGAACTGCTTATTTTCCGCTACATTTTGCGTACCGTAAAGCAGAGTGTATACGAACAAACGGGTCAAGTACAGTTTTCGGACTGACAACATTCACAAAAATGCATTAGGAGGTATATTGAATATAGGGTATTAACTACATTACGTATACAAAGGTTTAAAATAATTTGAAAAAATATGTTACAAACAATAAAAATTGCCTACAAATTTAAAATCATACAGACCTTCAGTAATAGTTATTTTACTTCACGGTATTTAGAACAGTGATTGTCACTTCAAAGCGAATAATCTTTATTATGGTCAGCTTGTAAATTAAATTTAGCCCTTTCACCCTAAATGCTCATGTACCTACTGAACCAAAATGTATGGATCAGATGATTTTGTTTTTCGTAGTTCCCCGTTGTAAAAGTTGAACATGCCTTTATACGGATGTTAGCCTAGAAATAATTGAATTGCATTCAATCAATTATTGTATACAATGTGTTATTGTTTATAATTATATTGTATTTGCATGTTTGTAACTCAAATAAACAATTTTTACCAAATAAAATTGATTTAATTGAAAGATTGTAGCTATGTTAGATTGTACGTCTACTGCAATAAAATTATCGTCTTTTTTGTTGTAATAAGACCGTTAAATAACCTGTTAAATAGCCAGTTTATTCCTATTCGCACCTGGGCAGAGATAGGTAGTGGATTAAATCCCAAACAACCCGCTCGAGTTTTAACCCTTAGCGAAAGGTTTTATCCCATTTCAGCTCGGAAACGGCGAATACGAAATTTATTATAATTGCATACTTATTGCAAATTTCAATGTAAAATACCTTTTTTAGACGAAAACGCGGCATCTCTACACAATACCTACCTTGTATTTCTGTGGATTCTCACTACTAAGTAATTGATGTACATTACGATTGGATCTTAATGAAGATTGATTCAAGTGCATACGATCTAACGGTTTTTTGTATTGATATCTTTCAATGCGATTTTCATGCGAATCGATTCAAAAGAAAGGTAAATCGAATTGTCTAGACCAGAAAGCAATAAACATTTTGTATCAATATCATTAAATTTGTACAAAACTGATTTACAACAAATATTTATAGTTGTAAATAGTTTTTGTCCTCGATTTCGGGCGTTAATGGATTTTAACCCGATTTAAACCCGATGTTAACAAAGCAACAAGTCAAAACCCGGACACTTGCGCTTCTCTGCACATGGGTTTCCATTCGCCCTGTTTCACCATGTATAACTATAATAAGATAATAGAAATATAAAGAGGGTATATTCATATTCGAATCTATAAACAAACGTGTGGCTACTTTTTTAATCTTTTAACTTTTTTTAAACACATAACTACGCAATGTTGAATTGATTAACACTAGAAACATTCGTAAAGTTTGTACTTTTGTGCAAGCAGTTTCAAGTAAAATAACACGGCGAAACGTCTTAGACGTCTTAAAAGAAATAAAGTTGCGTTGCGTCTTGGTAACCTGAATTAAATTAACATTTGAACTCGAATGCACATTCACCTCTAAAGCCGTTTCATTAGCGAGTACCTCAGACCGAGTCCATTCGGATGACTACTAGTGAACACGTGATCCGAGCGCACTCGGACACCGGCAGATCCGATCAGAGTGGACTCGGATGCGGTTCTATTCTTACGAATATACTCGGAACATTTAATGAAAAACAAAATGTCGCCAACTAAGAAAAAAATTAATTAACGTGACAATAAAGGGTTTTAAACCTATTTTTATCTTTCTTTTCACTTCGCCGATAAAATTATTTTCAAGGACTCGGTTAGTCATGTCTTAAAATCCATTTTCTGGTCCAAAATTTTCTCTTGCTTTGTTTTTTTCCCTATCATGAGTTTGTACTTCAGTCATTAACATATCTGATGCAACTCCTCCAACTCGTAGCAACAGATCAGTCTTTGTCATCTTGATTGTTCAAGAAAATAAATGCTACTCGGACGCTGATGAACTTGTAAAGTGTAAACCGAAATGCGAGTGGACTCCTATACGATCTAACTCGTACGAGCGCACTCGGTCCGAGAGCACTCGTATAGTGAGAAAGTACTCGTACGGTCAGACCGAGTTCATTCGGATGACCACTAGGTAGGACGCTACTCGTAACGTGTAAACACGTGATCCGAGCGCGCTTGGACATCGGCATCCTATTAATACGTTACGAGTGGCGTCCAAGAAGTCATCCTAGTTGACTCGGTCCGAGCGTATTCGTGTAGTGAAAACCCGGCTTTAGGGCTGGAGTACACTGAGTGGATACCCTGTGACGGTGGCGTTTAGTGCTGTTTTTGTTTATTATTGTTTTATTTAAGTCTTATGTCTTAAGTAAAATGGCATGATCATAACAAATTCAATAGAAACGCACTCCACTGTTGTATATGGGCATAGTGTGCAATGCAGTTGGAGACTGTCAATTTCAGAGTTTGAAAACGTTTTAAAAGATATTTGACACACACATCGCGATGGGAGTGTGTCCTCTCAGAGACGGACGGACGGTTGGAGTGCAGGGTTGAGAATTTTATTAAAACAAAAATGCATTTATGGACTTTACGAAAAGTGTTTCCATTCCGTCACGGACTTCACATAACTGTGGTCATCTATTGACGCCTTCTACATGACAATTCCAAAAAGGGAGTTACGTAGAAAAAAACTTAAAAAATTTTTTGGTGCCCCAAATTCATCGACCCTAATTGTATGATCTAAGTATATTATGTAACAGATTTTATACTAAAGAAATGAAAACGTCATGCACGTAATATAAGCAAAACACTTACATTAAGTACCTACCACTAGCGAAACATACAGGGTTATTAAGATTTTTTTTTTATAAAAAATAAGTGCGCATTTCACCTCTATCTTACCTGATGGGAAGTGATGGTGAGGTCGACGATGTAGCATGCACACCTAAGGAATCCCAGCCCACGTCTAGTCTCCCGATGATGGAAAGGGGAAGGCGGAATCAAATTATGCAATTCCATCGCACACTTTTCGTGATGTATCCTGTAGAATACCGACAAGCACCCAACTTTACGGCGGTGTAAATAGTTACAATCTCGCAGGACTATGGATATTATTAACATTATGGACAATAACTTTAGTTCCATGACTTTTTACAAAGCATAATAATTTACCAAAAATAAACTTTGAAGTTGTTGTTGTACTATCTGACTTTTTAAATCTGTACTTGATGAAGTTGTTTAGCAACGCCTCTCTGGTGCTTTCTTTTGCCACCGCACTGAGTTATCACCTTTTAGAGCGATCTATTTCTATATTTTTATTTTTGTACAAAAGTAAAATCTGATGAATTATTGAAATTTATGGAATAAAAGTTCTTATTTATGTTAGTAATATATAACCCTGTAGGATTGTTAGTATTTTACAAATGATAAGTAGCAGTAGATTTAGTAGCAGTAGGGCTCATTGTGAAAGAGTTCGTCCAGGGAAGTACTGCCTTACCTTACCAATTTCTGCCGCCAAGCAGTAATGTCAACATTACTGTTCCGAAGCGTGCTGGCGAAATTACAGGCACATGGCACTTGTCAACTTATGTTTCAGGGTGTCGGGCGTAGTGGTAGTGCCCCTCATTTGCGATTTAAAGCTCTGGTACTGCAACTGTTATGGACAGGCATGTAGCTTACAATCAGGCGGATGACTTGTTCGTCCCCTCACTTGATATTATAAAATAAACCGGGTACGTACAGACTGGTGAATGTGCTCTGTGCGCTACGTATCACGCTACACGCGTGCGATTAAGTGCGTCTTTGTAATGACATCTCATAATGTGCGCGAGGGACATGCGAACAGATCGCACTACGTATTGCACGTGTGCAGCTCGCGAATATTTCGCAATGAGACGTATTCGCGGCGCATTCGCCAGATTTGTACGCACCCTTATAAAATTGACCAATTCAAAGCGAGTTACTTTACATCGCTCAGATTATTTCGATGCTGAGTGTACCTTTTTTCCTATTTATCAACTGTTGATCTTGAAAAGTAGTGTTGACTTTCGATCATTGGTTCAACCTATATAATATAATTTATATAATTTTAGTACTTACTTGGGTTTAGCAACGGTCAACAATGGTTATATCCAATCCAATAGAATTATATCTTAGAATCAGAATTAGATTGTTTATGGCTTCAATTCAGATATAATGCGTCTAGGTATTTTATGCGTTCTCGCGATGCTATATTATTAGATACATACACAGATTACAGAATATAATACATATAACAACACATACAAAATTTTGTTTCTTTTTTCTTTACATAAGTACACAAATTACACACAAGAAAGGCATTTTTTTGTCAATTTGTGGCTATTCAAGGCTAAATGAATAGTCATTTTTTTTAGACAAACGCTTGACATCATGGATTACCATGTCGCTAACATTTTGGTGAGATTGTGGCCAGACGTGAATCTATTTTTAATATTTTTAATGTTATTAATATTACTTTTTGAGTCAGATTCCGGTGAGAAAACAACGCATAAAAAACTCAATTCTAATTTAAGGAAATTTAATTGTTTTAATGCATTTTTCATTTATTTTCGCGTTTTTAGTATGACAGTGACATAAATTCGCAATGTGTCTTGTGCAGCAAAATGCGCGAACATTGATTGCATTGGTCTCCCGGATACTGGCACGCGTTATCAAGCGTTGTCAGTTTTCCTGCCTTAAGGCAATGCGTGTCTTCTTCATTTACGTAGTTAGTTAATACTCGTAATATGTGGCAACAAATGCCTAGCTGATGAAAACCGACTAAATTATACGTACATACACTATGTATTAATATTATACAAGTGAGTAGGCATAAATAAACATAGCTTATGTTATCTATACACGGATAATAAATCAAAATGTTAAAATACCCGAATAATAATTGGAATTTCGTGTAACTACACTCTAGATGAAAGTTGAATATCTGCCCTCAGGTGCCGCCACTGCGTCGCCTGGGCCTATGCCGCCTTGCGATGCGTCGTCGGTAGGAGGGCGGCGCGTGAGCACCATTACATTGCGCAAGGTATGTGAACCATCGAAAGTGCCCCCTCCCCCGGATATGGAGCGTACATCTCTTATAAACACAGGTGGCGCCAGGCCGCTGGACATTACAACCTAAACCTGCGTCTAAACGTGCATAGGATGTGTGACAAAATGGTAGGTTCCCGCGGCAAATAGTGCACCTGCCTATAGGTTTTGACCTAGTGATCTGGTGACATGGAATCTGGACTGAATCCTCAGTGACATAATCTGGATTGGACTAGTGAAGTGCCAGGCAAACTTGGAAACAGTGCATTATTTTTTTTAACTTACATAGTAATGTTTATCTGTACATGGCTCAGAGTTTTTATTATAGAGGTTTGTGTGTGCAGATGCTGAGATCGCTGGTGTTGATGGCAGCGGTGGCGTACGCAGCGGCGCGGCCGGAGCCGCCCAGCTCTTACAGCGCCCCGTCGTCATCCTATAGCGCGCCTTCATCATCTTACAGCGCTCCCTCGTCTTCGTACGGTGCGCCGGCGCCCCAGTACGGACCTCCTCAGCAAGCGCCCATAGTACACAAGCACGTCTATGTCCACGTGCCTCCTCCAGATAATGAATACCCTGCGCCTCGAAAGCAGATTTACGTGCCTCCTCCGCAGAAACATTACAAGATTGTGTTCATCAAGGCGCCAACGCCGCCAACCCCAACCGCACCGATCATCCCGGTGCAGCCACAGAATGAAGAAAAGACCCTCGTCTACGTGTTGGTGAAGAAACCAGAGGAGCAGCCCGAAATTGTGATCCCCACGCCGGCGCCCACGCAACCCGCCAAGCCTGAAGTCTACTTCATCAGATACAAGACCCAGGTAAGTTGTAGCAGCTATCTACTTTGTAATTATAATTTGTATCTACACAGGTAGAAATAGATCTCAAGAAGTCTAATTAGTTCATAACCTTAATTGGTCAATCAAGTGATAATAGAGTCTCACAATCTCGAGCATGCCTTGAAGTCATAGTAATAACATAAATTGCTATTGCTATAATTTCACGGCAGTTACGTTTTAATTATACCGTTAAGAGTGAAGTGTCGAGATAATGCGGGATGCGCCTGCGCATTGCATCGTGAAAGCGCGAGTAAACATTTCCTGGAACGGTGTAGGAAGTGTGCGCATGACCTAGCGTGGTTAGAACACCTGCTGTCGTTATTACACTGACGCAACCGAGGATGCTACTGTCCCATGGCAGTCAGTGATGTCTGCATGCAACGCGATTAGTATTGATGTACACGTCCCCGTCATTAATGTTAAATTGAGATATGATATTTGTTTTTTACTGCATAGAGGCAAAATCTCCAAGAAAACCGCTTAACCTAATCTAAATAGAAATATTAATTACATACCTTTACAGTATATTGCAATGATCTATCATTGTGTAATATGAATGTAATATGATTTAGGATTTTTGCAAAAACGAAGGAGAAATGAAACACTAATAGGATTTATAGTCGAATTCCAAACTTTATTTACAGGATGTAGCATTTACGTCCTTTTGCTAACGAAAAATGTGATTGTCCAGAAAGGAACCTAACATATGCTAAAGCATTACCACTTACTTACTTTTAATGCGACATAGCCCCTATAGTTACAAGAATAAAGTTTTCTGTGTACTTGTTTTAAGAGAATGCTAATAAATCGTAATTATCCATAATGTTGATTGCGTCATATGTTAGGAGTTACGGCTTCGTATTTCATGCAAATAGCTTTATAATTGCCACTCTATTCGGAAATCTCAATGAATACACAGATGAAAGTGGAATCATTACAATAATGATTGTATGAACATAATTGTGATGTACCAAATTAAATATAGGTAGGTAGTGTTTTTACAAGAAGACGTTCGCGTGACATGTTGAGATACAAGATGGGGGATATGTAGACTAGATAATTTTTTTTCTTACTCAGTAAGATCAAGACATCCGGCGTAGATGTAATAATATGTCATATCACAGCACAACCAAAACTTTCATGTGATACCTTTCGCTTGCATGCAATGCCATATGATGTCTCATAAACACGAGGTAGATTAGTAAATAGGTAGAAAAGTAACTTATATTTACAATTGGTTTTTAACTGAATGTAAATAATAATAATAACATTATTATTTTCAGAAACAAGAAGGCTATCCTGCCGCTCAGTCGCCGTCGTCAGAGTACGGCGCTCCCGCCTCCGCTCCGTCTTCCGAATACGGAGCTCCTTCTGGTTCCGGAGGTGGTTCTTACTAAATATTTGACCAAATGACTCTGCCTGCGTGACCGTTCCCTCTTTACATATTTAGGGATACAAGACGTAACTCCTATTGGGAGTTTACAGAACGATTTGACGACCTACGTTTGCTTTAAGGTCTTCTGTTTCGTACCCAGTTAACGGTTGCTGAATAATAGTTGTAGAACAGAAGTACCCATTCTTCGGATCAAAAGTAGTAACGTCTTGTATGATGAGTATGGTTAGAAAAAGGCGGCCAGCAACTGACGATTCTGAACCCGTCACCAGTGACAGAATCGTTGAAATATCTCCGAGAGGGCCTAACGGTGACGGGATGGCATCACGCCAAACGAACTGCTTTCTTTTATTTTTTATTATCTTACATCAAATTGATGTGACTGTTTGTAAATAATATTACTTATTTTTATAAAATTAAAATAAAAATATTTTAGAAATAAATTGTTGTTTTGTTTCTACTGTATGAAAGGAAAGCGCTTGTAAGTCGTTAAAAGATGTAGAAAGGTCCAGCAAATCTAGCACAAACAATTTTCGTTTGGAATTTTAGTCTTACATAATACGCCTAGTAGGTTAGTTAAAGTAAAAAAAGTTCATTTTTTCACTTACTACAAGTACTACTATTACGAAAGGTGTTAAACAAATTACAAGGGTGGACATCGTCTGAAGTGACGCTGACGCGCTAAAAGGGAAAACAGGCGTCATGCTTAAAATAGTATCTAATTGCTTATTGCCAAACCAACCACAACAATTACAGTACATTCGTGTCAAGATGTCAAGTATTATAAAATTTATTAGATAGTTACTTTCAGTGTCACGTATGCGTGTACACACCATGTTAGTTAATATCTTTTGAAGACACTTTCAACAATCGTTACGCGTAGGTGCTTGTATCTTATGTTAACATAATTTGACCGTCCTATTTCACAGGTACCTCTATTGTGGACTATAAAATATGGCCTTTCATTAATGCCAAACGCGGTTAAGTGAACGACATAGGCATTCAAAATGTTCAACGCTCGTCGTAGTAGTCACTACGTGAATATTCGTAATATATTAGCTTTCGCTTTCATAAGTGGGTTGGCACAAGGTACCATATACAATAAATTTGTATGCGAAAAATAAAGTCTCGACACGGACATTTATAGCCTGAAAAAAAGAGGAAAAACACTGATTACGTAACAAAGGAGGTCAAAGACAACAAGAGCTGACATATTATGCACCAAGTTGACTGAAACACCGGTTCGAATCTTTTCAACGCAGCAATGCTACTCATGCCATGGAAAATTTTGAAACTAGGAAATAATTGACTTTCCATGTCCACTTCTTTGTTATCGTGGAGCAGTAACTCACTGCTGTCATTACTGGTATAACAGTGGATATATTGTGATGCAATAAGTAGTGAACCATACTTTGATATACAATAGGTAGCATATAACGTCTCACGGTGCCATTATAATGCAGCAATTCAGCATAATATTTTCACTTTCACGGGTGTTTGAATACCTTCGATGCTTCCGCGAATAACTTGAACGACCGTTCGTGGTTTTCATACAGCAATACTTACCCGGTTTTCAATATTCAGAATGTCAACTCACTGTGCTGCTGTTGGCCCATTACCCCTTTCGATGTCCATTGTTTCATTTATAGTGGATCTTGTTATGCAACTTACCTATACCCATTTCTTGCGATTGCGAAGTGAATTTTACTTGCCTATGATGGCACGAGTGAATTCAAAACTCGTTTCGACGGACCTGCGGTTTTATTTGGGTTCTGAATTTGTATTGCCTAATGCTCTAGATATTGCTTTTTTTAACAACATGAGTAAATAACCTATTACCTATTACCAAACCAGCCATCTATGTTTGAAGTGACTTCATTTTCGAGTACCTACACAAAATTGTACAAAAATTAGTAGTACTTAAATTATACCAGTAAGTAAAGTATATTGTCTGGGAGAGTGCAGTTTTTGCTAATCTCTGTATTTTGTATTTGTGTGCAAAGTTTATTTAATAAATAACCATACTAATTCTCTTGTATGGTCAGTTACTTAAAAGATTCCACATAAAGATGGTTGCATCAACAACCTCATGCATGCAACGATGTGCTTAACACAAGAAACTCGTGGTTATAAAGAAAGGTGATAAGCAATTGGTAAATTCGGTACAGATGTGCAACCACACTGTAATCACAAACTTTAGATAGAAAAAACATGCAAAGCAGTTCTAAAGTGTATTTATTAGATATTGTAAGGTAACAATGCAGTGCTTATCAGGCTTAGAATATGCCACGCCCTTGGGAGGACAGCATTATTTTGAAATTAATTATAAATTTAGTTCGTGAAATAACATGTACATAACTCGTAGCACATTAAGAATACTCTAGAAGTTTTATTTCTATAAATAATTTTAAAGATCAGCGTCCTGAGGCGGTGTCGGCTATTTTCAGAACGGAGTGTTTGGAGACTGCCGGTACTAGTAGTTTCCGTACATTCCCCTACCGAGGAACACGCACCATCCTTGAAAACTCGAGTAAAGGGAAAAACGATGTCTATTAAAATAGAGAACGAAACCAAGATTGAATCAGATCCTTGTGTTGTAGCCTGGGACAATCAATTGTTCGTTGGCACCGAAGATGGCTCTATCAAGGTAACACGTATTCGCCAAGTAGCGTTACTGTTTGTTTGACACTAAAATAATCTATCACATACTTCAGATCACATTATAACTGACGTACAGGTTCAAAGCCTTTTGTAAGTTTGATACTTAAGATTTAAATTGAATTTTATACCGCTTATGATAATAATAGTTCAAAGGTCAACGTGTCAAGTTAGATTTGCTCTTGACGGCACGAAGAAGTAGGTACGTACGTGAACGATTAATCGGAAATTTATATGGATAACCAAAACATATTTATTACGAAATTTGCACAGTTTGTTATCCTGAATAGTCAGTTGAAATAAGAACAGACTTTTTTGCACTGTATATTTTTATAAAACGAGAACATAAGTAATATCTACGTACTGAGTCTAGAAGCGGTGAAAGCCCAAAGATAGAGGGGTTGCTTCTCGATTGAGAGGACTACAGTTTAAATCCATGTACTTATGACTTTCATTACCTCTCTAAGGAGAGGTGAAGGAAAAAATTGTGGTGAAACATGCATGTCGATAAGATTCAGAAAGCTTTGAAAACGTGCGAAGGTCCGTACTGTAGTAGCATTGCGGACTATGGCGTAAGACCCCTCCTAGTGCCCGGCAGTGAGACGTATGACAAGTGAGTCAAGCACATGTCCATTCGCATACAAAGGACTATTGCTTCAAGTAAAACGTTTTTGCAAGATATGAAAGATAAAGACGTAAGTAACGTAGTCATGAAATTAAACGAGTGAATGCATTTTCATTTAAGGTTTTTGACGCAAATTTGACGTCTGGAGCATCATGGTCAGCTCATACTGTGCAATTATTCGCTCTGACCGCAGGCTGTGGTTATGTATATTCATCATCAAATGACGGCGGAATCAGGGTGTGGACACCCAAAGGAGAAAAAGTTAAAGAGTTGCCTCCTACAGGAGGCGATGTAGGTGTTCTTCATATTTTTGGAAATAATGTTTACGCAGGTGATGAAGCTGGCAATGTGAGTATGTGTGATATATTAATGCCTATGTATCAGTTAAACGATAGCTCTCTGTTATCTTTTACTTAAAATAAATTCGTCTCAGGTGAATAAGGGATAACAAAATCCAGAAGAGAGGCAGAAGAATCCGCTGTCTATTAATTATATCTATTACATCTACTACGAAGGCTAAATCACCTATCAAGGTGCTATATAGGCATATATCATTATATTGAGTAGTTTAAAAATGTAATATTAGTTTATCCATCATATAATGCATTACAGAAGCAATAAGTTCCATTGAGGTCATTTTGCAACGATACATCGATCGTTAAGCCATATAAATTGCCTTATGAACTTCATTAGAGAAAGGTAAAACATTATGGTCTCATTAAGGTCACTATGCTAAGGCTGTTTTAATTCTTTTAGGTTGTCATCTATGAGAATAATGAAGAAAAAGCTAAGTACAATGTTCTAGAAGAGGTAAAGGATTTATGGTTCCATTCTCCGTTTTTGTTCACAGTCAGAGACTTAGATGTTACGGTTACAGAAATTAAACCTGGTGAGTGAAAATCTATTTATTATACAAATAAATCAAGAGCATCGCGCGGACTAAAACGAAATAAAATTAAATAATGTGAAATACCAAACATCGCCACTTTTTTGAAGTCAGAGAATTCAAGCTCTTGATGTAGGATATTGTGCTCCCGGCTGAAAAATACTTTATCTCTAGCTGAACTTAGGTACGCATGCGCATGTATAATATAATATTATATAAATATTTATGAAAAGCTTTCATTTAGCTACATACATTTTAACTGAGCAGTATAATTTTAAAAAAATACTGCTTTTATTTGCTATTGGGGTAATGTCGCTGATATTAGTAAAAACTTTCTCCTGTGGAAACGTGCGGTTAGGGCAATTTACAATCTGGATCACACAGTATCTTTGGGAGATAGGTTTTAAAAAATTTACCTTCTTAAAGTAGCATCACAGTAGATTTATGACAATTAAATGTATGTTAAGAAGAGTAGTAATTATTTTATGAAAAATTGTGACAGACATAAAAGTAATACAACAAATAAAAATAAACTGGCTGTTATTGGCAGTCGTCTTCTATAGCAATAGTGAAACAAAAAGTTTATACTCAAGATAAGATACAGCTTCTGTGTACTTGGATGCCAAGCACACAGAAGCCGTATATTTAGCTTATAAACAGCCATTCTTCTCAGGTAGACCTTGCGAATGAGCAGTGGCGTAGCATTGATTTTTGCCGCCCGGGGCCAACCATTCCTTTATTACTGTGTTGTTGCTGTCTCTATGTTTTTCACGATTGCAAAAGTAGTTCGTTCGGGAAGGCTCGGCTGGATTGTGTTTTTGTGTTAGCCTGCCATTTCGACTTTGGTGTTGTTCAGGATATCGTTTTCTCAAATAACGGAATTTATTTTCAAATTTCAAGTAAAAAAAAGTAATGCCGCTCCCATTGCTGGGCCATGCCCCAATCGCTACGCCACTGCGAATGAATAGTAGAGTTTAATCAATATGACAATTGCAATTGTAAAAAACTGCCTCCGTGGCCGAACGGTTACCATACCGGACTGCCACGCAGAGGTCCCAGGTCCGATTCCCTGGTCGGTAGGAATATTTGTATAACCTACATTTATTTCTCTCATGAGTTTGGGTGTAATTGTGGTTGTGTCTATATGTGTGTCCATGGCACCCGCGATACAGGATTTCCCTAGTGAGCTAGTGCGGAGCTATGTTGAGTGTGTGCGTTATTAATTTGTTTACTTACCTATGAAATAAAGATTATATTTGATGTGACGTTACCAGACGAGTCAAAGAATCGGTTTACAACTCGCTTCACTGTGGAGGGACGGGCACCACTGCGAGCGACAGGCAACAGATTGCTGTTCATGGCTCGAGGAGGCATCACTCTCCAGCTGCACGACAATTCCGTCGACACTGGTTTCAAGAAGTTGCACGAAGTTAAGGTACGTATGGCTCCCGAGAAAATAACAAGCACAATGGACAAGTGTATAAAATTATGCTTTTGTCATCGCATTCACATACAAGTTTATTTTCTATAACACTATGGAACAAATAATATGGAGTGCGTGACACTAAAGGTGTACCTATAAAGGGTCTGCCGGTTTTTGGAAGTCGCTAATCACTGTTCACAGCAACTTAGATTATAGATATAATTATAGTCGGTTTAATTCCTGAGAGGCCTATGTCCTTCAGACAAGCACCAATCCTTCAAGTAAGTGATGGAAATTTTAATTGATATTGTATTCTAAATTTTCACAGGTCAGTGATATGATAGTGACAAGTCTATCTGTAATCGGAGACTACGCGTGGACTGGCGGTTGGGACGGCCACGTGCGCCGCTGGAAGATCACCGGAGACAAGCTTGAATCCGCAGGAGAAATCAATTTAGGCTCTTGTGTCAATGCCTTAGATACTTCAGCATCTAATACCGCATATGCCGTTTTGTCAGGAGGAAGAGTAGTGCGCCTCACCGCTTAATATTGATGGAACGCCTTATGAAATAATGTTAGCAATGAGATACAAACATATTTTTGCTATATGATTTGTAAAATATTTAGAACACTGCATTTTCAATCTTATATAATTTTGTATAGTTCGTTCTTCTTACGTTATCTGCGTACTATGTATGAGCTATGTGGTTTTTACAATACAATGGAAGCTAGTATTAATAGAATAGGTAATTAACTATAAAAATTGTCTTTGTGAATGCAGATCTACTACATTCATGGATCTTTGTGTAAGTTTGAATTGAATTGCTACCCGATGTAGTAAATAAAAATTATTAACAAGTGTATACATAAACTATTAACAGAAGCCAAAGACATGAAACAAATTAGTTAACTAAACTTTGGTCACACAGAATAAAAAGAACAGTATATCAATTAAATTAAATTTTACTTAGATTTTTGTATATATACAGTATAATTAATTACAATTTCCACCTGCATTATTTCTCTCATCACTAGCAGGAATAATTTAAAAAGAAAAATGTACTAAATGACAAAAACAAAACTACTATTTATGTTTAATAATAAAGATGTTTACAATATGAGACATTTGTATTGAAACCTAAGTATTTATCCTTTAGTATAACAATGCAACCTGTAAGAATTTACTTTTAAATAATGATCTCAACATCACAAATATCTTCTTCATCAGGTAATTGAATGGTTTTCGGGTCTATATAGTTGGGGCTGATGGGGGGATATCCGTTGTTTTCGCGGCGACGTAGCTCGAGGAAGGCTTCACGCTGTGCCCAGTCCCTCATGTGTACATCAGGAGCGTAGGCCCACATAAAAGAACCGAAAACTAGGCATAAAGTCACAGAGAAAAAGAATGAAGCGTGGTGGGCATTCACATCATCAGACTCGTTTTTATAGTCAAACCCATAGCTCACCCAGTTCTTGGGTTCCTCATCACCACAACTTTGATGAGATGCTGTTGGCGCTGATGTTGCTGCTGCTTCACTGTTCTTTTTAGAAGTCGCAATGTTACGGCTAACCCTGCTAAAATGGTTCCACACACTTCTTTGCAGCACGGACATTTGCCGTAAATTCATTAATGCAGCCATTGTGTATTACTGTTTTGCTATTTTATGTATAGATAGGTCGGTGATCTTTTTTGTCAAAAAATAATATTATTTTCGCCAAAACTAAAAGTGGTAGAAGATTACGAAACCAACTCGCATTTGACAGTTCTGACAGTAATTCATAAGGAAATATTTTTACACTGCATATTTTCGAAACTTTACATTTACTAGGTTTTCTTAGTAAGAGCGGTGGTGGAGAATCCGACGACTTTTTTTAAAAACCGGTTACATTAAAAATACCATAAACAGGAAATAGTGTTGGTCATGGAAATATTTAAATTTATCGAATAAATTTCCTATTTTTTTTTAATTACGATTTTTGGCTTGGATACGAGCCGTTTGAGCCAGGTCTTCACTTAGTCTTCGGGATCCTCAATAAATATTTTCTACTGTGTTTGTTGAAAAGTATCGTTGTTCATTAAGTAGTCTGTGAGTATCGAGTACAAAAGTATAGGAATCGAAAGAAAAGTACTCGATACCAAAAAGTAGCAATACCTTTTCCGCACCTCCCTACTAAAAAACTTAAAAAAGCTAATTTAGGGGCGAGCAAAGCCGGTTCTTCGGAACATTTCAGGGTGGAACATTTCATTATTTATTTTCTTGCTGTTCCCAGTGTTAATAAAGATTTTTGCATTTAAATTGTTCTTGAAAAGTTGAGATAGGTATTCAAAATGGTGGTGCGGCAGTACAATGAGGAGCTCAAATACCTTGAGAAAATCAATCCATATTGTTGGCGAATCAAGAAGGGATTCCAACCAAACATGAATGTGGAAGGCGTGTTTTACGTGAATGGTACTCTTGAGAAATTGATGTTGGATGAGTTGAGGAACTCATGTCGACCTGGTATGACGGGTGGGTTTCTTCCTGGTGTGAAACAGATTGCAAATGTTGCGGCATTGCCTGGGATCGTAGGGAAGTCAATAGGGTTGCCTGATGTGCACTCAGGATATGGATTTGCCATAGGTAATTATTTACAGTATACATTTTATGTAAATTACTTTGTATTTAAACACTAATATCTCGTGACTAGAATGCAGTAATCATGTGTCGATATTGAGCAAAATAATATGGCACTACAAAAAATAATATGATGCAATATAAAACATTTTTTTTATTTCTAAATGATCATGATAGTGGTGTCAGATAGTTAGTGATAGTTCAACGCTGTTTATGTTCTGCATTAAAATAAGAATATTGTGTTCATTGCGAAATCATTATGTTTTTCAGGTAACATGGCTGCATTTGATATGTCTGATCCGAAATCTATTGTGTCTCCTGGAGGCGTAGGATTTGACATTAACTGTGGAGTTCGTCTACTCAGAACTAATTTGCATGAGAAAGATGTGCAACCTATTAAGGTAACACTATATGTTTATATTATATGTATGTCTAACTAATTACATGTATATGTATGACTAATTACATATGTCATTTATGTTGATGATAATGAATGATGATGTAATCAAATCACTTTAAACTGCCTCTATGGCTAAATGGTTACAATGCTAGACTGTCATGCGGTGGTCCTGGGTTCGATTCCTGGACCGGGAGAAATATTTGTATGGCCTATATTTATTTCTCTCATTACTTTAATAGCTTTCCTATAAGGAAAAATGGGATTTACTATATTAGTTGAAACATATTAATTTGAACAAATTTGACACTGTTATATCACTAGTGTCTTTACAGGAGCAGTTAGCTCAAAGTCTATTTGACCATATACCAGTAGGTGTTGGGTCAAAGGGCATCATTCCCATGAATGCACGTGACTTGGAGGAAGCCTTGGAAATGGGTATGGATTGGTCTCTACGAGAGGGATATGTCTGGGCAGAGGACAAAGAACACTGTGAGGAGTATGGCAGAATGCTCAATGCTGACCCTTCTAAAGTTAGTCTTCGTGCTAAGAAGAGAGGTCTTCCGCAACTCGGTACTCTAGGAGCAGGCAACCATTATGCAGAGATACAGGTTGTAGATGAAATTTATGACAAGTATGCTGCAGGAAAGATGGGTATCGAAAGAATTGGACAAGTCTGTGTGATGATTCATTCTGGAAGTCGAGGATTTGGTCATCAGGTGGCTACTGATGCTTTAGTGCAAATGGAAAAGGCTATGAAGAGAGATAAGATAGAGACTAATGACCGTCAGCTAGCCTGTGCTAGGATAAACTCTGTTGAAGGTCAAGATTATCTTAAAGCCATGGCTGCTGCAGGCAACTTTGCTTGGGTGAACCGTAGTTCTATGACATTCCTTACTAGACAGGCATTTGCAAAGCAATTCAAAATGGCTCCTGATGATCTAGATATGCATGTTATTTATGATGTTTCACATAATATTGCTAAGATTGAAGAACATGTAGTAGATGGTAAAGTTAAGACTCTGTTAGTACATAGAAAGGTGAGCAATACCACACAATTTCTTTTATAGTGAAAACATACAAATAATTCCATTTATCCCTTAATGCAATAATGTTTTGTATAAGTAGTCACAAAAAGGAATATAATAATCATTTTTACAAGGAAAAAGACTACAAAAAAACAAAATTGGGCTTTCATTGTCCACAGTAACTTAATAATTATTTCTACAAGGAAAAGGGGTAGTTACTTTAGTAGCAGTAGAGCTCCTTGTGAAAGAGTTCATCCAGGGTAGTACTGCCACCTTACCTATTTCTGCCGCCTAGTAGTAATGTCACGGTAATGTCAGCATTACCGTGTTCCAGTTTTTAAGGGTAAAGGTGCTGGTGAAATTACAGGCACATGGGACTTGTCAACTAATGTCTCAAGGTGATGGGCGCAGTGGCCCCTCAGATCTTTGCGTTTTAAAGCTATGAGTGGCACTGCAACTGTTGGACAGGCGTGTAGCTTACCATCAGGCGCACGATTTGTTCGTCCCCTCACTTGACGTTATAAAAAAAAAGTTAAATAAAAAAGAACCTATATTGGCCAACCTTTGATAGGTTAACATAAATACACCAATGGGTGCTGAATGTACACTAAATAAATCCTTTATTTATTTGCAGGGCTCAACCAGAGCATTCCCACCAAATCATCCTCTGATCCCAGTGGACTACCAGTTGACCGGTCAGCCGGTTCTAATTGGTGGTACCATGGGCACTTGTAGCTATGTGCTTACTGGCACTCATCAGGGAATGACTGAAACTTATGGAACCACCTGCCATGGAGCTGTTAGTATCAAAACTTAAATGTTTAATGTTTTAATTTCCTGTTTTTTCACTTTTTTAAATGATTGGAGTTTATTGTGTGTTCATGTTGTTGAAAATGTGTAATATTTTGTTGTTTTTTTTTACATTGTTGGTTAAGATATTATATTTTTATTTAGATGTATAAAGTTAGGAAAATTAAAGCTTTATTTTTATTTACTTATTGCTCTACATTTTTGTATAATGAAATATTATGTTTTTTATATACAAAAATGTTAAATTAATGAAATACTTGTTTGACAGGGTCGTGCACTTTCCCGAGCAAAGTCGCGAAGAAACATCGACTACAAAGAGGTCTTGAATAAGTTAGAGAATATGGGCATTTCCATTCGTGTGGCCTCACCTAAACTGGTTATGGAAGAAGCACCGGAGTCCTACAAAAATGTAACAGATGTTGTTGACACTTGCCATGCTGCAGGTATCAGTAAGAAGACTGTGAAACTAAGGCCTATTGCAGTTATTAAGGGATAATTGTATTTAATAATTTTATATATTAATAAATGTTTTTTCAACAAGTTTGATTTTATTTTTTCCTTGATATGGCGAAATGTGTCAGGATCGTTGCAAGTGGTAGCAGTAGATTGTTTTTGCCAACCCGATGTGACAAGGGTGTTACGTGCATTTAAATTACACATCGAGTTTTAGAGAAAGACGATTGACTGATTTCGACTTTAGAGCGTTTTCTTTGTCATTCATTACACAGGTCGCCTGGAAAATTGCGTTTTGGACTGTTGAACGCACGGCTTGGTTCCACTAGTGGGTCCATTGCTTAACACAAGTGGATCCATCAAGATTTGTGAATACTGTTGTCTTTACTTCGGTTGTAAATATACTGGCCGCACTGACACTTGAAATATATAGGTCGCTTTTATTTTTTTTCCATCCTCTAAGGGTCGCCGTCATAATAATTATCCATCCATCCTTTAAGTAATTACCAAATGCATTGATGTCATTTGGAAACTAAAGGTAGCCTTTAGACTATTCCTTTTTTTTTCCATCCTCTAAGAGGTAGCCCTTAGAGGATGGAAAAAAAGGTAGCCTGTCTTTTTCGAAAGCTTAATGTCTAATATTAGACGTGAAAGCTAGTCTAATATTTACGGCCTAGTAATGTATGTGTTTTTAATTTACAAATCGCCCTTAGAGGATGGAAAAAAAGGTAGCCTGTCTTTTTCGAAAGCTTAATGTCTAATATTAGACGTGAAAGCTAGTTTAATATTTACGGCCTAGTAATGTATGTGTTTTTAATTTACAAATCGCTCTCTACGTCTATCTAGATATGAAGGGTGTACTACGAATGAGTACGAATACCGATAGTGCGAAGAGGGTTGCACGGAAGCTTAAATGCGCGATTGGTCAGTTTCGCGAAGGCGTAAATGCGCGATAGTTCATTTGCGCGAGAGGTCAGTTGCGCGAAAGCTTGAATGCGCGATAGTTCATTTGCGCGAATGACGATTGCAGTGCAGCGCGTTCGCAGTGTATTCGCCGGATCTGTACGCATCCCAAGGTGGCAATACTTCCCTGAACGAACTCTTTCACAAGGACCTCTGCTGCTACTAAGGTAATCAGTGTAGTCGGCTGGCACTGACAATTATAAATTATACCCAAACATAATTCAGCATAACAGGTTACTAGAACAAACAAATCCAAACGAAACGATAATAACATTTATTGAGACAACAGAAAAGCTAACAATGATCAATAAATTAATACTCTTGAACAGTCTGGTATTGGAGGTACTTCTAATGACTATAATTTGAGCTCACAATGTCGTACTATACGGCTGTTTTATAATCACCTCTGACTCTCATAGACTTATGTTCCACTTTAATTTGAAAATGGGTAATGTAGCTAGCTTATAACCCAGAAAAGTGTGCAGATGATTGTACCTTTATTCATTACTTGACAAGTAACTATGTACTAGACCAGGGGTTGGCAACCTGCGGCTCTTTCGATGTGAAGTTGCGACTCTTTAGTTCCATACGCAAATACTAAAATCAAAGTAAAGTAAGAAGCCAACTAACAAATGAAAATCTAGAGTCGTGTTTGATACTTAAAACAACTAGTTATGAGTCAAATTTATCCAAACTTTCAAAAGGCACGCAAAGCCAACGCTTCCATTGATTTACTATATTTAATTATTTTAATTTTCTAGTATCAATGTATGAATAAATAAATATTATTTCTCATTATCAAGTTTTTATTTAAAAAAAATTAAATATCTTTATATAAGCAAGTACTATAATATCAACAAGAAAAAAATTTGTGGCTTTTTAAAAACTGTGAAATTTTATAAATTATAATTTTTGGCTCTTTCAACTCAAAAGGTTGCCGACCTCTGTTCTAGACGTATGAAAAATTTTCTACGATATTTTGGTCTTATATTGGTGGTTACATTGTATTAGCCACATAATAGTATAATGTACCTTATTCAGACAAATAAATAAATTAATTGATTGACTTAAAGCAATGAAACTTATTTTTTGGGCTTACTTCTACCGCCAGTAGAAAAAATATCAACCTTTAGTTAAGAAGCGACATGAATGTTAAATAAGTGTGAATAACAAATTTTGTCTACCAAAATCAACAGTAAAGTTTGTTTCGTTCATTCATAGAGAAGGTCTGTATTCTTTTAATAGTCAGAGGTCATTATTAAGTGGCCGTTTAGAGACTTCTTAATTTATCAGCTAGTATCACGAGGAGCGCAGTGCCAAGGAAGAAGAGCCCGGGCGGTAACGCAGCTGCTGTCCTGTCTGGTTCGTCCACTAAAGGCGGAACCTCACATTTCTCAGTTCCGTCAGTCACCCACCCTACACACTTTTCTAGTGCTTTTTCCCATCGGATGCGCCGGATTTCTCGTTCTAAAATTAACATATAAAACATAGTTACAATATTGAGAGGACAGTGTATAGCAAGTGCGTTTACTAAACTTATATTTATAGACGCATTTTGATCCCATTTTTGTTTGTAACTAAATCAATCTCAATGAGTTGTAAACACAATTTAGATAGGAGAGGAGGCACAGTCGGTTTGAATGGAGATATAGTAGGAATTATGTTTATAATATGGCAACACCGAGCTCCGCACCTGGTAGTGGCAATGGTCAGTGTGCGCGCGCCAAAAACTGAATGAGAGATCGTGTTTAGTTTGAGCGTCGAAATGTAAACATTATCAAAAATAGTTGCAAGGATATTACTGGAAGAATATAAATTTATAATGGTGGGTTGAACTTTGCT